ACATTTATGCTATGGCCGTTTTGCATAAACAGCCATTCTAAAGTGTTGCATCTCTTCAGATTTCACCCTAACATTAGCTATAAATACAAGTCCATTCTCTCAGAATTTTCATACGATTTTCTGAGTTTCTCCTCCTTCTTCTGCATTGTTTTAACTTCAAAGAAAGTAACAGTAAGTGTGATTTGCTACCGAACTTTGTATTCGCTAGTATGTAATTCGCTCTATCCTGGGAGGAAATAATCCATAACCTTGGGTACTAGGAGGGGATTAAATTTCTTAAAGAAACACTGTGAATTTAGTGGACTCGGATTAATTTTTGTTTCGTTATATTTCTATTTATGTGTTATTTTATTTTCTCCAGAATTAGTTTACAAGTACTGTTTACTAACAGTTCTATGATAGGCGCTATCACGACGGTTTGGTTTTGGGTCGTGTCAAGGCCTCAAACCATTAAGAGAGCCATATACCTTATAAGTATACTCTTATTCTTTTCAACTACCAATGTGGGACTTTGTTCGCACACCTAACTATCTCCCCCCGAACTAAGTTCCACGTGGTCCACAACCATGATCCATGGGTCTCTACCTCGAACCAGTTCCGCGTGGCCTATTACCACGATCCACGGGTCAATTTTCGAGATTCGTTGTGTGCCACCATCATTGTTAGAGTATTTATGGCAATTGAAGTCCACAACTAGCTTCTTTATGTGTGCGTATCTCCAAATCGAGTCTTGCACCATCACTCTGCCATCGACATACTCGTTCTGTTGAACCTGGGCTCTGATAATTGTTGGGCTAAAATGGCCCAATGATACTCTTAACATGGTATGATATTGTCCGCTTTGGGTCAAGTCCGCACGATTTTTCCCCAAAAAGCATCACACCATTAAGAGATCCCTATGACCCATTTTATCTCTAATTTTAGTTGAAACAACGTTTTTTTTTTTTTTTTGGCTGTACTAACAGCATGTAATAATTGAGATTGGAATATATCATAGAAACACAACCCTACCAAAACCATAAAATACCCATTTTCAAAACAAAACTATTTCTCTTAAAAATGAAGGGAGGGAAAGGCAATAATGTATAACTGTATGAAATGCTCACCTTCCCTCCATCGGGACCCTTGCTAGCCTAATCCCATCAATTTGTTGTTAAGTTGTTATCATAGAAGTAATTATTTATCTGAATCTTAACTACCAAACCAAACCTTAACATAAAAATCCAATTAAAAAAGAGATAATGAAGGTAGATGACATGGCTTGATCACTATCATCATCATAATCATCATCCCTATATTCTAAACCTACATAATCTCTACAATACGACATCGTTTTCGTAGCGAAAGTAGAAGGTCCAATGAACAACCCCTATTTCTCAGCTGTAACGGCACGCAGACTTCTAGTTTTCGTTATAATTAATGTATTTTCTTTTGCTAATTTAGTTTCAACATCAAGTGAGTCCCCATAGTTACCGAAAACAATGACACTTTAATTTAACTTAATTTTTATATTTTACATAAGTTATAAGGTATGATAATTTACATCCCAACAGCTACTAATTGGTGCCTATAAAAAAATGAACATCATATATCCTCAAGTTCAATTCATGCTCAGAAGCTCTTGTTTTCTGGAACTACAATGGAAAGAGAAATGTAAGAAGTTGTTATACTCGTGGCTTTTATTTTTTCAGATATTAACTTATTTATTATTTTCATTATGCTTCTTATCAGCCTTTTTGCTCAAGGTTAACTTTGTTCCTTCTGCTTTCTCTTTTGATTTTGCGAGGGTTGGGGACTTGGGGGTGGAGGAAGAGGGGCGAAGCTAGAATATATTTTACAAGCAGACGAACCTAGTGGCTTTGTGTGAATTTCATATTTATATTAAAAGTTTATTAAATATGTATAAATATTTAATTACGAATTCATATATAGACAATCAAAACCCATAAACTTTAAATCTTAGTTGGCGTTGGGGACATTTCTCTATTTGTGTTTTTGCTTTTGACGGATTTTTTGGAAGGGAATGAAGTATATTCTTGTTTTTGGCTTGTCGTATAAGAAATGCCGTTTATAATTTAAGACCATTGCCACATGGACCAAAAGCCAAAATTTTACGGTATAGCCAGTTTTCGGACTGGTCAATCAAAAATAGCCTACCAAGTTAATGAAAAATAGTCACCGTTTTGCTGCAATAGAGACCGGTCCAGCATAATATACTGGAGTTCGGTGCACTTGTGTATGAACTCCAGCATATTATGCTGGACCGGTATACTTTGCTGGCTCCAGTATAATACACTGGAGACTGGAGCACTGGTTCTCCAAACTCTAGTATATTATAATGGACCATTATACTTGCTGGAACTCCAGTATATTATGCTGGAGTTCTAGTGTATTTATGTTGGAACTCCATCATATTATGCTGGAGTTCCAGCATACTATCCTGGAACTCCAGTATAATGTGCGGGTTCAAGTATACTTATGCTGGAACTCCAGCATAATATACTGGAGTATTTTCCGGATTTTGAACAGTGTTTTCGCTTAAAAAGTGGCTAAATTTCAATTACTTTTGAAATTGGACTATTTTTGAACGGCCAGTTGTAAATCTGGCTATTTTTAAAAATCACCCGGACAAAAAACTAATTTTGGGATATGAGTTCTCCGGCTTTATAAGGAAATTTACGTATTATGAATTTCCAATGTGCCATAATAAAGATTAGCTCTTTAGTCTTTGTTTTTGGTTTATTGTCAAACCTTGAAAGCGTAAAATAAGTATATAACTATTTCCCTATTTATTCGGTGGAAATGGGAAATACGTACACGAAAAAGAAGTCGCTAAAAAGCCTTCTCTCCAATGTTAGTTTTTGCATAAAAATGAAAAAGTCTATCTTTAAATAGAAATAAAATTGGATGGTTTGCTTTTAGGAAGTTAATGGAAGAAGACTTGGCTTTTTGTGGATAACCACATTATGAAAAGGTCAACACTTAATTTTCTTATTAGAGAAAATTTCTGTTTTGATTGGTTGTTTACTGAACTTCTCTCTCATTAATTATTTCTTCTTGATTTAAGATTATAACAAAGTTAACAAACCATTAGCAACCTATAGAAAAACAATGGCCACGAATAATTCATTTTATTATTTGATGAGTTAGAAGATAATGTAAAAAAGAAAGATGTAGCTAGAAATATAAGGAAATGGTGTTACACATCATTAAGAAAAAAGTCAGTTAGGTTACCCAACTCTTGCTATTTTACGTAACAAGCGAGAGTGTTTTTAGTCTCAATCGTTTAGCTTATTTAGATTTCTTTTGTTTTTTTCTCTATTTTATTTAATATAAAAGAAACCATTTTCTTTTTTAACTTTTCCCATACTTGTGTAGAAACCTTACAAATGGCTGGTAATGGCTTTATGATTTATTATTTATGATTTCTAGTTTGTTCTATGTATGCGTTCCTTTTTTATTATTTCTTTTCTTGGTTTCTACTTAAAAAGATAGGTGTAGTTGAAGAGAATTAGTTGGTCATTTTAATTTTCAAACCACACAAAAGCAAAAAGAGAATATTAAATCCCCATAGTCCTAAATACGAGGCTGAAAATAAAACCATAGGAAACCCCAAATTCCTAAGGATTTTCCATTGATAACACGAAGCTAATACATATCCTTTACCGCAATTATTATTAATTACAAAATCCTGAAGGATAAAAAGCTATACAAGGAATTTCTTACAGAAAGGCTATATAAGGAAAGGTCTTAGCTAAAATGAAATAGTGTCATATCATAGAAAATAAATAAATATTATTTTGACCATGTTCTTACTTCTATTTTAGCTCTTCTCATTTAGATATTGTCCTATGTATGATCTACACAAAAAGTTTAAATAGAAAAGAAAATAATTTATACACAAATCCTATCTTAGGCATAGGAAATCTTAAAAAAGAAAGTTCTTTTTAGCGTGGATAATATGGAATTATTAAATATTAAACCAAAAAAGTTTGTTAACCAAAAATACACTAGTAGTCATGATATATATCATTGCAAAATTATGGATAAAAGAAAGTTTCTCTAGGTAGAACAAAAAGATGGTCAAAAGCTGCAACACCCTCACCCCTCAACACACCCTCAAGTACGTGTGTATATGTGTTTATATGTGTTTATATATATATATATATATATATATATATATATATATATATGAAGAAAACAATTCTTTAACTTATACAAGTATGTAAAAATATAATTGTAAAATATATAATTGTAATTCTTTAACTTATACAAGTATATAAAATATAATTGTAAAATATATAATTGAAGAGTAGTAAACTGATCAAAGAAACTGAAAGCAAGAAAAGATAAAGATTTTTTTTTTTTAAACTAAGCTGCGCAGGGCAAGCGGGCGGGTTGACGCGGGGCGAGGCGGGAGGTGGGTTGAAAATTCTGCGGGTTAAACCCGCACCCGCCCTATTGCCATCCCTAGTTATAAGAAATACAGCTAAAAAGGAGAGTGAATGAAAATGACAGTGAAGTCTCTGTCACGGCTGGCCCTTTATGATGATTAATTGCGTGCCCTAAGTGATAATTACATAGAGACATACAACATTGACACAGTATTATGACAAGACACACTCACAAAACAAAAATAAGAGAGAGAGAGAGCTAATGAATACACATTATGCAGGCGTTGTAGCCATTAAACTTGCTTTCTAAGCTCCATTATTTTCCAATTTCATCACTAAAAACTTTATTACAACTATACTTTTTTATGGTTGGTCCATTCCTTTTTGCTTCTTTTCTTTTGGCCTACGTCTTCTCTTGATCATGATACTTTTCCGCTGATCGAGTTCCTTTATACCCCGTCCTCTCAAGCAACTTGATTGTGGGGAGGGGGGGGGGGTTTACACGAGTATGAGTGGTTATAATTATATGGTATGGTAACATGTAAGCACAATTTACTTTTACAAAATNAAATCAGATAAAAACTTTCTTGGAATACCTAATTTCTCTACTTCTATATGGTTTAGAAGCTCTAGATCTATTTCTTTATTTTTCTTGATCATAGCATCAAAAACACACTACTCTTTTTCTCTTTCTTTCTTCAAATCAAAAGAAACAAAACATTAAGGTAATCTCCAAATCCAATGATCATTTTGATTAGTGTGTAAGAATTTTCATCATTTCAATGACTTTCCATATACAATACTTTAAATAAATTGAACTACGACGCCTGCACTGCAACATGTTTAATATATTATTAGTTAAAGTTCTTGGTTAAGCACGATAAAATTCGTTATTCGCATTTTTGGTTTTCTTTCTTTGGTTAGAGCTAGCAGGCCGGCATAGAGACAGAGATTTGTCTCATATTCTTGATACTTTAGTTATTTATTACTTTCTTGAATTTCTTAATATTATAATAATAGCATGCCTAGAAAGAAGAACTTTTTGTTTTGTTTAACTTTGGTTGTACGTAAAATTAGCAGAAGATTAATGGAAGCACAAACTCAAGGAGGTGCAGAAGTTAGAAGACTTCATATCATATATTTTCTCAGTAGAAAAGGTCGTATTGAACATCCTCATCTTATCAGAGTTCATCATTTTTCTAGAAATGGCATTCGTCTCCGAGGTTTGTTCTATAATTAATTATATATTATAAATTAATTTTCCCTTTTTGTTTTTCACTCGAGATGAAGATAGGAGTACTAATTAAAATGATTTGATATATATAAGCTTTGATTAATGTGGTTTTCTTCAATGATTGAATAATTATAGATGTTAAGAGATGGTTGGGAGAATTGCGAGGAAAAGACATGCCTGAATCTTTTGCTTGGTCATACAAGAGGTTAGTGCAAGTTTTATAATATAATCTCATGAAATTGATTGCTCCTTGAGTTGTTAGCTTAAAACTTAGTGTTCTTCTGTCAAAATGAAAATACCCGTGGTTTTTCTTTTTCATTTTGTTTCATACTTAAAAGTCATTAATATTAAGGTGTTTTACTCGGAATTCATTCTTATATTAAGTCCAGTACATATTTTCGTCGTTTTTTCAAATTGAGTTTGATATAAAAAATATGGGAGTATGGCATTTTAGAAAATTACAACCATTAATTTTTTTCTTTTTCAAGTTCATTCTTACTGTGTTAATTGAGTGAGACATTTAAGAGTAAGATACATGATATTAGTTTAGATAAATATTTTTTTAAATAAGTGAGCAAAAATCTTAAATGACCATAATAGAACCGAAGGTATAAGGGCGCATGTAGATTGTAGGGCGTACATATAAGGCAAAATTTGTTTTATGCCTCTATATATTATATTTTGAACCTTCTTGCCACAACGCAAAATTATAGTACAGTGATCAAGAGGGTTCAAAATCTTTGTGAGATTGTTAGTTCAATTCCCATTTGGCCACATCCCTTTTTAATTTCTTAACTTTTCTATTTTGAACCCCTTTAGCAGAAATTCTACCTCAGATATTGCGAAAGGTAGTACCTTGTTAAAAAACCTCAGCTAGTCTTGAGTGTATTATTGTGTGTGGTATATTAGTTGTATCTTGTCTAGAAAAATCAAAATTGAAGCACAAATCTCATTTACAAGTAATTAAAATTTAATGTTTTGATCCTTATGCCATTATGAATCAAAATCAGCATCTCTAGATCAATCTCGCAAAATATTGTGCGTATGTGGTGGAGAGATATATATGATTCGGAAGTTATGATATTTCCTAAAAATAGAAAAAATGAGGAAGTCAAAAATGTGATGCAGGAAATACAAGACAGGATATGTATGGCAAGACTTGTTGGATGAAGATCTCATTACTCCTATCTCCGATAATGAATATGTCCTTAAAGGATCCGAAGTTTCTAAAGGCAAGTACACCCCCTCCCCCACCCCCTCCCTCCCTTTTTTGTTTGGGTAAAATACAAAATTGACTAGTTTGCTGAAACTAATTGCATTCTCTCGTTGAAAAGTATATAGAATATACATATATATAT